TCTTCGTTTTGGCATTCCCTCCCGTGAGCTGTCATTTGGGTGTTGATTGGCCAATTATTATGAATGCAATGCTACCCGCTTTTTACATCTTGGCTTCCACCCGTAGAGGGGGAGTTTCCCCTTAGTGGTCTCACTGAGCAGAGCGGGAATATCTTCACTTCCACCCGTAGATTTGCAAAATCAATGGCAAGGAGTGAGAATAGCCAATCGAATTAGGTTCACCGTTCTTTCTTTTTTTTGGGGGGGAAGGTTCCCCGTTCTTTTTTTTTTTTTTTTTTTTCTTTTTTCTTTTTTCTCTTTAACATCAGGTTGGCCTCAGCCCCTGCCTCTTGGGTGTAAGAGCCCCAAGTGATAGGGACGGGCACTGAACGATCACTCCGGTCTATTCGTGGGGAGCTGCACCTGCTGGAAACCGGGTCCAGCGTCCCTTACAGATCAATCAAATAATCATCGTCAACACCTTCTTCCAACTTACTCTTCTGTGGTGCCAGATGCGTCAGGCCTCTCACCTTGTTGGTGCCAAATCAATCCTTGAAATCTAGCCCTATCCAGAACAAAAAAACAGAAAGAGTGGGACGACAGTTCTTAAGTATTCCAAGAGCTATACCCACTGGAGGATATAACAACAGTCTAGACTACAGTATATCCCCCAGGCCCTTTCCAGCGCCTAATAAATGAGAGTAGATTCGCCAGCGCCTAATAAATGAGAGTAGATTCACAACGGGCATGATTGAATAGTGACCCCACTGTCGGGATAGGTACCAAAATGCCTATAGACTACTCACGGGGGTCTGGGCCCCAACAACCAGGGTTCCAACACAATGCCCGTGGCCTTTAACTTAAGGAATCTAACTCTCTGACCCCAGCTGCGAAAGAAGCTGTCCCTGGCTGCTTTCCGGCTACAAGCTCTTCCAGTGTGTCTCCAATCTGCCCATACCAAGGACCGTACCCCCTCCAGGATCATATTCTTGATGTCCCTGTCCGAGTAGAATTTGGACTTGAACACTCTATCATTTCTCAGTTTCCATATAACCTGCTTGTTGGCCGCCCTGCAGGCTATGGCTACATACTCCCAGCCCCGGCCTATTGCTTCTGCATTATGCAGGATGCCTTCGACCACAAAGCATTCATCCCATTGGACCAGGTCCTCGACCTGAGAGAGCCAAAGACCGGCCCACCATACCCATATCCTTTTGGACTCAATGCAGTCCCACCACAGGTGCGTGGCTGTTTCTTCTGCTCGTCTGCATCTACGGCACTGAGTGTCCAATGGTACCCTATTTGCCCTGAGCCAGGTTGCTGTAGGCACAATCCTGTGAGACTGCAACCACATCAAACTACCCATTTTGGCGGAAGAAACCCGTCTGAGGTTTCTCCACAGCCTCCTTAGGGATGTTGACGAAACAGGACCCTTCTGCTGTGCTCTGTCCTTAGCTTCCATTAGCCACCGATTCCTCACACCTAACAATAGGGACCAAGACTTGTTTTGAGTTTGATACCCAACTGTAGGAGAGTATTCCAACAAGTTCCTAAACCTGGGAGGTTCAAGTAGATGCCAACCCCAGAGTGAGGGATTCGCCCTCAACTTATTAATCGGTATTACTCCCATGGGGCAGTAATGTACCATTTCATTGTTGGGTTTTTTCTTGGAGCTGACCAAGATAAAGGCAACCTGCTGCATCGGAACCACCTTGTCCTCATTCTCCTTCAACCACCGGTCAACTACCTGACCCTCTTCAGAGACTGAGAACGAGGTGACCGCTGCCTGCTCCTTATCCAAGTAGGCCAGGACCTTCCATACTTCTGCGGGAACTGTGCTACCACATTGCACCATCCACTGACCCTCGTATGCCGGACCAGGATCTTCGAGAGTGTTCTTCCATGCTTGTGGGATGCTGGACAGTAAACCATCGAGCCTTGCCGGCACTGCTCGCAGATGGTGCAACTTAGTTCAGAGTTCAGTTGCAGATCTCCACTGCGTTAGATCCGTGTTCCATAAATCTAATACCCGTGCGACACCTCTCTGGATCCAACTCTTGCCAAACTGCCCGATGCCATCACTGGCGGACCAGGGGATCCAAGTGTCGTCGCAAATAAGATTGTTTTCAAAGAGGTGCTGGGCCAGAATCTCCTCCCTGGTTCGTGGTTCTTGGAGCTGCACCGGCATGAGTTGGGACCAAGCCTGAAGAATGTCCCTCCAGACTGGGGAATTAATAGGTCCTTTCACTAAGGAGGGTGTGAGCAGGGCCAACCACACATCCTCTCTCCTACATAGGCCTCACTCGTTCATGAGAATAGCCACCGCCAGCTCCACCCACGGATGGCCTGTTTTTGCATAAAGTAGCTTCAACACCCACCTGGCCAGCAGTGCGTTCACCTGCATTTCCGGATCTTTAATTCCCATACCCCCATCTGATTTACTCCCTACTACCTTTTTCCATGCAAGTTTGGCAATATACCCCACTGCCTCGTCATCCGTTGCTTTCCATAGATACCTTGTAGCCACCGATCTGATCTTGCCATAAGCCTTGGGTTCTAAACTCCTCATCGCTCCAGGGTACCATATCTGCGAGAAGACTGCCACGTTCAAAAACAACGCCCTACCAAAAATAGATGTACCCTTGACCGCTGCCACTTTGCCGATCTTGGAGATGACCGCTCTTTCCACCAGATTGTTGGYTGTCTTCTTGCTGTCCAAGAGGCTCACCTGCACTCCCAAGAAACACTCACACTCCCCCACAGGTAAGCATTTCAGGCCCCAATCCACAGACAATTGAGTCCCATCCATGGCAATTGCGGTAGACTTTTGCCAGTTAACTAGGGCTTCCGAGAATTTTGAGTAGAGATCGAGACAGGTTTTGAGAGCACCTAAAGAATCTTTGGAATTGGCTGACAAAGCAAACAGTCATCGGCCATGGCCGAAGCTTTACACTCCTGCTCATTGGGAAGACGTAGGCCTCGAATATTTGGGTTTTTCCTAATCAATGATAAAAGTACTTCCATTTGGATGACAAACAGCAAAGGGGTATGCGGGCACCCTTGCCGCAGGCAGGGAGCGAGTGAGTGGGAAGGAACTAGAGATCTCCCCGTTCACCATTACTTTCCCCACCCCTTTAGTGTAGAGCGCCTTCACCCATGAGAAAAATGATTCCCCAAATCCGGCCAACTGAAGGGTATCTAGCACGAATTGCCAATTAACCCTATCGTACGCTTTTTCCAAGTCCAGGAGGAGGGCCACTACATCCGGTTGGTTCCTCGTTCTTTCGCCAGTGCCGGTCGCCCTTTTTTTTTTTTTTTTTTTTGCTCTTTCTTTTATTTTTTCTAAAAATTGTTCAAATACACCTTAAAGTTTGGGTATGTTTTAAGATACCCCCAAAACACAGGGATATGCTGAAATTCCCCAAACTTCTGCATCTGCCCCGGCCCCGCGCATCCGCAACTTTGCCATATGCCCTGACCCTGAGCTGGCCGTCTTTTGCTATCTGGAGGGTCAAACGGCCAGAAATACCGAGGCATATAAACATGTTCCCCAAGTCCCGGTAGCGGTATATGCAAAAGATAACAGGTCCAATTTCCCTAAGCCTCACTACTGTCATAGGGGCATTTCCACATACCCATGCCTTTGGGGGTATCTGACTAAATACCACAACATTCAGGGGCATTTCAACAATTTTCCCTCCTAATCCCAACTTCGCTACTGTCTGTAAATGTAACAGGGGCATTTCACCATACCCATGCCTTTTAGGGCTATCTCACGGATTTCCAGATAGGTCCTCCGGGGCATCCCCCCCCCCCCCCCCCCCCCCCCCCCCCCCCCCCCGAGAGAGAGAGAGACAGAATATTTTAAATAATATGGGTGCGGCCGTAGCTAGCTGCCTGCCGGCACAGGGGTGGAAAATTTGCAAGTGCAGCTGAATCTGAAGGATCCGCGGTAAGGGAGCATCCCCAAACGTTTTTTAACGAATTGTTACAAATTTAGAGTAAACGCC